AAAAACTAAAGTCATCAGGGAATTGATTGAAGTTACATTCAATTAATCTTATACAGCATTTTATAAATGGGCAAATTATAATACATATGCAAAACTGACTGAAACTAATCTTAAAAAAATTAAATCATTCCAATAGAGTGCAAATGTAACTCACTAACTAGTCAAATAAGAAACCTTCAAGTTGTTTAATCTTAGTAAAAAGATGCAAATCTGTTCATTTCTAGATAAAATTATTTTGAAGTTGCAATAAAGATAAAAATTAGACTCCTTGAGATAAATTGAAAATTACTGTGTTCAAAAGAAAATGGAAGAAAAACTTAATAACATAAATAAATAAGACTTGATATCAAGATTAAAAGATACTGCAAATAAGACAGAAAAAGGGTTGCTCAAATAAGTCTTAAAGAAATTTTCACTCAACAGAACGACTTAGGAGGTCAAAAATAAATATTTCGGTAGAATTCTCTTATCTGTCAATGGATAATTGATTGATTCATTTAGAAAATGGAAAACCTTACCTAACCCCAATGATATAAACAATATTTAAAAGGCTTCTAAGTTTTAAATTAAATTGTAGATGTTTATCACAAATAAACATAAATAAGCATATGACCCTTTAAAATATCTATATTATGATGCATTGTAAAAGAAACGATTTTGTATAAGATAATTATTCTAAGTAACAATGAGTGCTCCTTAGAGATATTTAAAATAATGGCAGAATGTGGCCAAAGTATATAAATCAGTTGTAGCATGTTAAAAAACAAATAATTTCTTCTATTCTATAGCTTTGATAATACAGTCCAATCTACTCTCGTTCATATAGAACAAAAAAGATGTGGATATTAAGGAGAGATGCATCTAAAAAATATTAGCATCTTAACATAGTAATTTAGCCATAGCTTTTTTTAAATGGAAAAGCCAGAATAAATAGGAGTAAATTTTGGAAAGATTAGGGGATGAGAAGATGAAATTTCTAATTTTAAATTTAAAGAAATTCTTAGAAAATGATAAAAAGTAGAGATTAAGAAGAGCCTTAAATCTATTTCATTAAAACCTTTAGGTAGCATAATAGATAAAGAAAATAAATCTTAAATTAATGTAAACTGTAATAGGATAAGTGAGTTCTAGCTTTTAGAAATGGAAGTATTTACCAGAAGATAAGTTTAATGGATCAACTGCAAAAGTAAGTAAATTTATGATATCTCTTGGAAGAGTTGCTTATAGGTTTGTAAAAGTAAATTCATGGAATATTATGGAAGATTATCTTTTAGATGGACAAGCTAAAAAGAAATACTGTATAAATAAAATCATCTCTGTCGGGCAGAGTGATTTAAAAACGGCATTCCTAATATGGCATAGAAAATCATGGGAAATGAAGATGTTTGATTAGTTTTCATAATTGAATGTTACATTGAATGATGAAATAATTAAATAAAGAATAATTAATTGGATTAATTCTGGTAATAAAGTGAAACATTATGCATTGATTGAAATCTTAAAGAGATTCCATTAAAATGCAGAATCTCAAAACTTAAGAAGGAAAGCATTAGCAATAATACATAGAAATACAATCTCTTAAGTTTGGATCTCATTTAATAAATGGAAGCAAATTCCTGAACATGATTATTCAAAATTATCAAAGGTAACTAAATTTGAATAATCTATTAATCATTTCTTCATTCTTCAAGCAAAGAAAAAGACTTGGAATCCCTTATAAGAAATATATGATGATGCACTTGCAATAAAAAAACGAGCAGTTTTGCTCCTTGTGAAAACATAAGAATCTGAACAATAACAGGCTCTCAGTAAGTGGAATAAGAATGTGGCTTTGATTTAGGAAGTTGAGAGATGCAAGAGTGTTATATTACTATTTAAATTTGTGGGTGATCAAATTTAATGTAATTTGTAAATTATGCAACCAAATTAAGAGTCAAGATTAAAAGAAAAAGCATTGTTGAAAATAATTGGCGGTAGTTATGATAACATTAGATATTTTTTTATGAGATGGACAAATTATTTAAAATTTGAAAGATTACAAGCAATCTAAGGAGAGAAGAAAGAATTTTTGATTCACTAGATTGGATTTTTTTATAGAAATAACATGAAATCTAAATTGAGATTGGCATTGTCTAAATTCAAAAGAAATTCAGTTCTTAGCGCAGTATAATAGAAGTTCTTTTCAAGATTATTTTCTACTAAGTTCGGAGGAGCAATTGTAGCATTTCAGAAATGGAAAAATCTCCCTGAAATCTAAAATTATGAAAATGTAAAAAAGGGAAGAAGATTAGAGAAACTATTGGAAAACCTTTATAGAGGCAGGATCAAATTATCATATGATCCATTAAAGGATGAATATTAAGAAGCTATGAATAAGAAGATGCATTGCATCAGAAAATTGATCATCCTAGGCATGGGATTAAATAAGAGATTGTTTTTGTAATGGAGAAATACAAATAGATTATTGAAATCAATTGAAACTTGCAAGTAAACTACAAATTTCTTTTAAACTCTTTCATTGACATTATCTGGAAATGTCTAAGTCATTTTTAAGACTAATCAACTTTAAGAAAAAGCCTTTGAAAAAATGTTATCTTAATATAGCAATTTATTAAGATGGGCATTCATTAAATGGAATAATTAAGCTAAATCAGATAAAATTGCCTCCTTGATGGATAAAGAGAAAAGAAAGTTTCTATTATTTGCACTTTAAAGAAATTTAAAACATAATAAAATTGGATAATTAAGGGATATATTGAGAAATTTTAATGATGGTCGATATAGAATTAATTTGATTAAAAAAATTCAATTAAAGTTTTTACATACCTTTGCAGGCTAAGTGGAAACTTCTTTTTTGAAATGGAAACAATTACCAGATTCAACTAATCTAAAGTAAGCATCAATATTTGAATAGAAATTGAATGCCTTTAAAATATAATTTCTCAGAAAGAGTAGTTTTAAATATTTACAAAACATATATTAGGATGGATAAGCAAAATAAAAATATGCAATCAATAAATTGATGTTTAATTGTATGAGTGTCGAAAAGAAGGTTTTCTTATAATGGAATAAAGTAAGTGAATTGCAAAAGACTGAAGAAAGAGCAAGCAAAGTTATGAGTTTCTTTGGCTCGATAAATAAGATTTAATAAAATCATATGTATTTCTTCTTTGAGGATTAGATTAAAGAATTGAAAAAGCAAGAAGAACTAGTTCGATTATTAAAGGAATGGGAAGAAATGTTCAAAGATTCTTATTAGAAATGGAAATAGACTCAAGCAAAATTAGATTTATTGGCTAGTCAAAATAGATAGAAATAAAAGTTTTCTATAATTGAAATACTTAAGGATTATATTTAAAATAAAAAGAATTACAATTTAAGATTGATTTTAAGAAAGTTTAGCAATTCAAATAATAGTCAAAAGGCAGTTAATAAGTTTTTATTAGGAATATCAAACTCATCAATTGGATAATTACATAATTCATTTTAAATGTGGAAGAGATTGCCCGAACCATAGAAAACTAAATAGGGATATATATTTGAAAAGAAAATGTTCAGTTTGTTTAGAAGATAACTATTATAATCATTCGATGGCTTATAAGATCTATATTTTTAGGCATTAAACAAAAAGAGAAGAGTTGTATTATTATTAGTAAGAACCACTAAGTCGTAATAATAATAAGCAGTATAAAGATGGCGCGATGCAATAAATTAAATGAATTAATAAGAATTATAGAATGTTTAAGAAAATAGAAAGTTAGCAATATAATTGTTTTATTAACACAAAATGAATTAGTTGAATGTGGCCTTCATTGAATGGAGAGACACTATAAGATTACATACAAATAAGTAAGAAAATAAGACACAAAGAGATGAAAGATTAAAAAAAGAGGCTATTTTATTGTTCCAAAATTATGCTTATGTGAGATTAAGAGTGTATTTCACTCAATGGAAGATAAGAGCAGTCAAAAGAAATATGATATAGATTTGCTAAGCAATTTAAAGAATGATATAATTAAATAGATTTGCTGAAAAAGCAATGAAGAAATATGTTATGGATATTTGGAAAGGACAGCCTTCCAAAAATAAATGGTTTAAGAGAGTAGCTGACATCATCGCAAAGAATTCCAGAATTAGTAAATAAATAGCTTATTGGAGAATGAGAGATAACTTAAATTAAAAAGCAGTTGGGTTATCTACTCAATAAATTATTAAATGCAAAAAACTATTCAATAATTTATTTAAAGCCTTTGATAGAATCAAGCAAAGGGCATTTACTCTTTTAGAGCATTATGGTAAAGGCATACCCGATGATACTTCATTTTAACCTTCTTAAACTAGTTTTCTTCAATAGACTCCTATTAAGAAAATTAAGGATGCTTTCTTTAAATCAGATTTTGATTCTATCATATAGAGGAATGGTCAAAAGATGGCACTTAATGCTATTTCAAGAATAGTTAAAGTGTATTTCAAGTAGAGATTTATTGAATTAATGATTGAATTGGAAGAGTAGAGATCAAGAAAAGTTTCCACACATAAAAAAAAGGGAGCAGAGAAATTATTTGCAATTTTAGAACAGAACTTTAAATTGAAAAGATAAGTCATTTGCTATTAAATATCATAAGTAATTAATTTTAAACATTTAGGTTAATGAATAAGGAGTACTGAATTAGATCAATGAAATTATTAATTATCAATAATCAACCTCGAGTAGTAGTAAATTAGAATCAAGTTAATTGAAAGAGCAATAGCTTAAACTAAATGAGAAAGAAAGAATGTTAGAGGGTTGGCAAGAGAAATTAAGATATGCGGCAATTAATAGGTTTAATTACATCATAAATCGTATAGATTAATCAAAGCTTTAGAAAGATGTGAGGATCATTTTGTTGAAGATGCTTTTGTTGCCATTTCTGAATACTAACTTAAATGATTAATTATCATATAAAAAGAAGCAATATCAATATAAGTTGATTGATGAAATTAACATTATATATTTAATCATGGGAAACACAACTTCTAATCATCCTCAAATAACAGAAGTCTTGACAGAATACCATTTTTAACACAAGAATTGTCTTATTACCTCTCATTCTTCATAAAGAAAAATTTTAAAAGCTGCTTCAAAACGAAATGAAATGCCCCATAAAAGTAATCGTCGATTTGCTCCCAATATTGTCAAATCCTTGGAGTTTAAGAGCGAAGGTAATCAATATATACAGATGAAACAATATAAAAAAGCTATTGAATCCTATACAAAAGCTATTGTAAGTTTTGCTATCTAACTAGAATCTCTATGATAATGATTCAATCTATTTCTCAAATCGTTCAGTGGCTAATAAACTTCTCAATAGATTCTAGGAAGCCAAACAAGATGCTTAATAAGCTATAAAAATAGATTAGTAAAATTCAAGAGCTCATTTCCTGTATGGAACTGTTATTTTGATTGAAGTCCAAATGTTTCCTGACATTAATGAGGCTCTTATAAAGTAAGCATAATTGGGGATTGAAGAACTTGAAAAAGGTAATATAAACTTTATATTTTATAGCTTCTGTATAGGTTAAATAAAATAAAAATGAATAAAAAAATAAATTAAAGGTCTTGATTAATTAAAATTTGGCTAAGGGAAAAAGAATGATATTTTTAATAAGATAAGAAATAGATAAGAGAAGTACTTTTTATAATCATATCTAATTAGATATCTAATCTCTAAAATAAACTCTAAATGATATTTCTCATAGATAACATCATAACTTCGATTGGAATTAAATAGAACAGATAATCCATAAGAAAATGGAAATTATTTTACCAGAATGCTTTGTATGTCCAATCACATATGAAATAATGGATGAACCAACACTTCTCAATTCAGGGTTAACATATGATAAACTTAGTATTTAGTAGCAATTTAAGTTAAATGGATATTTGGATCCTTTGACAAGAGAAAATATTGATCCTATGGGCTTAATTCAAAATATCTAATTATAATAAGGAATATAAGAAATCTAATAGCAATATGGATGGGTAGGGATAGAAAATGAGAAAGATTACAAGGCAATTAAATTTGAATGACTTACTTTGTAATATTTATTGAAATGATACTCTCATTTCTTTTTATTCAACTTTTTTGAAATCTTTTTCTTAATCTAAACTTTCTTATTTTGTCCTTTTTATTTGCCTTTATTAACCACTTCTGCAGCTTTCTATTTTGTTGGTTTTCTTCCAGGTTTTAGTTTTTATTATTTAGATTAGCCCTTTTAAGCACTTGGTACTTTTTAAGTGACATTATTGGTTTTGGATTTTGGCCTTCCTTTTTGTTTTTTTTTATTTTTCTCCTCTTTTTATTTATCTTATTCTTTATCAACCTTTTGTGAAGATTCTTTTGATTTTCCAACTTTTCCTGGTTTTCCAGGCTTACCAGGTTTTCTACCTTTTTTCTTTTTTTGTTATTCATCTGTAATTTTTCCCTCCAAAGTGTTATCTAAAACACAATTATTTAAAGTTAAATCAGCAATTGAACACAAAATTCCATCAAATAAATATCCTTGTATTTTTTTTTATTCATTTTCGTTGTCCATATTTGTAAATGGATAATTTGCTTAAACTAATTTCAATTCTTATAATTTTTATTATATTTCTAATTCTTAATTAAGCATTGTTACCTCTTTCTCAATCACATCTTTTTAATATTATTTCCATTATGCTTAAGTTTCTTTACTAATGAAATATATCTAATTAGATACTTCTTTAATTGTTGTTATATATAATCTAATTTTGCTTAGAAATCTATGTTCTTTAAGTTTATGGTTGTGATTGGCTAAGTTGATTATTTATTTTTATTCATAAAAATATAATATAATATGATATAATATTTATTTATATTAACTCATAAATTTAATAATTGCTTCAATTAACCTCTACACTCTTCAATATTTTTATCTAGTTCTTCCTATTAAATAATAGAATCAAATATATACAGATAGCCAATCAGTTTCTAATAGGTAATCCTATAATAAACAATTATTATCCATAGATATCAACTCTTCATTATCATGGGATAACAAGTACAAGTAAAATGCTTCTGCCAATTGTTTTCTTACTTTAGGTAAACTAAAAATAAATGTAAAAAACGATACTCGCTAGTTAATATTTCAAAGATATGCTAAATAATGTGATGGAATAATTCTGTATTGACTGATAAAATATCAATGATTAATTGAACACTTGCAGATAATTTATTTATTGATTGAGTTTTATGTGTTTCTTTGTAAATTAATTAGAATAAGATTTCAGTATTCTATTTAATCATAGGCAATGATTGTATTTCCTCCTTTTGTAAAACAAGTGAAGCTGTTTTAAATAAAGGTATAACAACTCTTTCATCTAAAGCATATAATTTAAGAATTTCAATTAAATTAGTCATTAGAAGATCAAGATTTTGATTCAGATGTATATATTAGATTAATGCTTCTTCACTAAATTTCTAGATTGATTCACTAATTCCTCCAACACTAATACACAATCCTGTTAGGATGTATCTACAAAATGTAGGATATGCAAGAATGGGAACTATTAATCTATAACAACAATGCGGTAGATTCCAATGATAAATTAGATCTGTTTTTCCTATGGTTTATAGAACATCTTTTAGGTTTTTAATTTCAGCCTCAATAATTTCACTTTAGAAGGTTTGATCCACTCTTTCTTAATCTTTTATTATAGTCTATTATAAGTTAGCAGTTGAGAATATTGCAGATATTTATTCATAATTTTCAAACTTTTATAATTTAGGAAATACAGATTTAAATAAATCCTACAACACACTTCCAGCTAGTAATCTGACTCTATCAATCTTTTCACACAATTACTACAATAATTACCCGATAATTTTGATAATACATTATTCATTTATGATGACATTTTCTATATGATTTCTTTCAATATAACCTACATAACTAACTAAAATAGATTAAATAGCAATTATTGAATTTTCTCTAATGAATAATCCAACATCTCCTTTTTTATTCACAGTGTAATCTAACATTGCATAGAGTATGCAATCAATAACAGGTAAGAGTTGAGCTTCGCAATTAAAATTATTGTTTAATTAATTAATAATGCTTTGTCCAAGAGACTTTATGGCAAACTTTCTAGTGTCTGGATCAATACTCCAACTTGTTAATTTAGCCCTTTTCTTTGAAAGCCCAATAGTGTACAATATACTTAGATCTTCATTATGTAATACCTATGGTGAAAAAGATCCAACACTTTAAGCATAACCTCCCTATATCAATACTTGAACAGTAGTTGACTTTTGATTCAATTATTTTATGACTCTTTTTAAGAATTCTTTCCCATCTATCAAGTATTGACCTTGTGTTTGATATTGATTGCTTAATAATCTTAAAGCTTTGGCTGCTGATATCTGTATTTCCTCCAAAGGATTCTTTAAACCATCTTCAATAAACTTCAAATAATAAGCGTGTTATTCTATTTAAAGTGGTAATTTAGAAATAGAGATGCATTCAATCAGTCTGTAGGCAGCAATTCTAATTTATTCTCCACTCTTCCCTTTCAAAGAATCTTCTAATAGTTTAGGTATTTGCATGATCTTATCAATGATTTCTTCTGAGAGTAAATTCATATTGTCTACTTATAATAACTACTCATATTATGATTTAAAAATTGTTATGTGTTCTCCAGCTTTTGCTAATTGTCTTTCATTCTTAGTTAAAGTTCTAAGGAAAACTGAATCTTTCAACTCCTTTTCCTCTGAATTCTTAGTGATATGTCCTGATTATGCAATAAGTAAGTCTCCCAAAGCAAATAAGGCACCATGTTTTGAACTCAATGATTGCAATCTAACCATTTTCAAAATGCTTTCGTATATCAAATTATCCTTAAAATAGACTGGATTCAAAACAAGCAGTCTTCCTAAACTTTTGGCTGCCAATTTTCTCACTTCTTTATCTTGACTTGCAATCTTAATAAAAGCTAAATGATCAACCATCTATTTAAAGTACTCTGGATATGATGCTACAAATGGAGCAATTCGTAAATAGGCATTATGAATCATAGCCAATGAAAAATAATCTGCTTCTGTTAAGATGCTTATACCATGTGGTATTATATTAGGACACCTTCCAACTAATTCTTAGAAAGTACTTGATGCTGCTCTTCTAACATTTACTTCTCGATCGAAAATCATAACAATGACTAAATGTTACGCCAAAGCTAGCACATGATTTTTTAATATTTCAGGATCATAAGCTCTTGCAGCTGACCAAGCTATGAAACATGCTGAATCTCTGACATTTACACCAATACTATAACCACCTTGATTCTATTCAAAAATCAAGGCTTTGCAAATAATAGGAATGATAGATTCTAATTTATTTTCAAGGATTAGGCCTCTTCTACATAATTCTCCTAGTGCTAGACAACCACCATGCCAGGCAGTGTCTCCATTGATTGGAGTGAAGCATGTGTTGATTAATGAATCAAAAATATCATCTGCTTAATCTAAATTTAATCTAGCACATATTCTGCCTATACCCTTAGCAGCTGACCATCTAACGACAGTATCCTTATTTATTATTTATTATAATAAAGTATCTACAACAGTCTCTAAGCCTTCTTAATCAACATCAATGAAATAATCAACATCCTCTAGTTAAATATTTGACTATTATTATTATTGTAATTATTAGTTTGTTCTAGATGTTTATGAGTTGGTGACAATTCTTGAATAATCAATGATTGTTAATGTTTATTATAAATTTGTTGTGCCTTTTTTGTATGTCCAACTAACAACTCTTGGTCTTAAATAAACTAATCCAATTCTCTAAGTTAATTTTGTTAGAAACAAATTTATTAATGTACCTTATTATTTCAAATTGAGTAAAGGCAATAAAATATATAAATTATTCTTTAACACATCTCTTTGAACAACTTTCAGAATTTCTACCAAGGTTTCCAGGATTCCTGTAATATAAAAAGTATTAAGAATATTATCTTGCAATTCATGAATTTATTTGACACTCCAATTCAAAAATTATTCTAATAAATTACATTTCAAGATATCTGTTCTACTGAATAATTTAGATAAGTATAGTGCTCCCATGTTTCTTAATTTTGTGGATGATTTTAAATAATTGACTCCCAAATTTAACAATGATGTTATTATCGTATTACTTGATGTGAAAGTGTCTTATATAGCATTAAAAATTTAGGAATCAATGGAATTTAGATCAAATGGAACTAAAACTATTATGCTTAACCACATGAGAATAACATATTTAGTTTCCCAATTCTAATTAAGATCTGTTGAGCAATGTTACAAATACATAACAACTGGTTCCAAATTACAAACTTCATGTGGACAATATCTACTGATTGTTCTTATTCCTCTCACTTTTGTAAGAATATAAATTGTATCACAAATGTTGTGAAATTCTTCACAACTACTTACCCCAGCATTATTAACATTTTTTAGCACATATACTTTTACTACATCCATCAAACTCACACATATCTATTCTAAAATAGAATCTAGTAATGTATTTTATTCTTGGTATTTTTCAAATATATGACATACTCTATTTTTTACTTTTATAAATGGGAATTTCTGCAATTAAGGATTATTTTCATTTTACACAATGAATTTTTATGTAAAATACACACACATATTTTTAATATCCTTCATTATTATTTCAAAATCCAATTACAATTATTCTTCATGTTGCTTATTTGTCATTTATTATTCTGAAATACTATAAGCCACATTCTATTTATCTTCCTCTTCTATTTCATCGTATTATAAGTTATTGTACTTCTTCCTTAAATTCAAATCTTCTGATTCATAGTAAAATGCCATTTTTATTTTATAAAAGAAATTAATATTAATTTATATTATATTATTCTTTAAATTATCATAATTATTCACTTAATTTTTAAATATGATTCCAGAATTATTCTACATTGTCTTTAGTTGTTGTGTGATTTGCAATGGACACTCTAAGATAAAATAAACCCTTAATTTCAGATCCACTTATAAATCCAAGCATAGTGTT